TTAGTCTGGAGAAGGCTGAAGGGAGACTTTCTGTCTCTCTACAACTCCCCAAAAGGAGGCTGGAGTGAGGTGAGGGTTGGTCTCTTTTCCAAAGGAACCAGTGATAGGATGAGAGGCAATGGGCTGGAGTTGCTCCACAAATTTCTCTCCTGGCAGAGTGGTGAGGAGTGGCCCAGGGAGGTGCTGGAGTCCCCACCACTGGAGGGGTTCAAAAATCATGTAGATGTGGCACTTGGGGACATGGTTTAGTGGCCAAGGGATTGTTGGGTTCATGGTTGGAGCCGATGATCTCAGAGGTCTTTTCCAACCTCATTAATTCTATGCTTCAATAATAATAATAATACCAAGACATGACTTCACCAGTTAAAAAAGCCACTGTCCTGTTACAAGGCTGAACTATTTGAACACCAGGCTCCCAACCAGGACAGCCTTCAGCAGAGCTGTAGCAGATGGAGGCCTGCAGAGTCAGGGTGGCTTCTCCTGCATTTTTGTACACAGTACACTTGAACAGGAAAGGTTTTAAAAGGTTATCTTCACCAGCACCAAGCAACAGACTTTTAACTAAGCAGGTTGTTTTTGTTTAGTTGGTTTTAAGTTATTTTAAATTGTAACCAAACCAAAGTATCAACAGAATGAAGTTACATCAAATTTCAGTGTGCTGATGAAACGAGAGGGTCTGAGCTACAACCCCAGAAACAGAGCTTGGGGAAATCTAATTTTACTCCTAAAAGCACCAACAAGCAGCAGCCTGTTGGGTAAATTGGGCAGTGTTTCACCATACATACATCTTCCCAGACAGCATCCAGCTCGATGGGAGGGGTTGCCTGCTTCAACATGCTCTTGAAGGCAGATTCCTTCCGCTTCATCTTCCGAGCCTCTTCCTTCTCCCTCTCTCTCTCCCGGGCTTCTGCCTTTTCCAGCAGCTGGATCAAGCAGAAGGTGTAAGATCAGTTGAAAAGACATCACAATGACTGGTAATTCTGCTTCAGGAAACCCAATGACAGTTCAATTCTCAAGTTTTTCCCTTGGGCATGCAGGAAAATGGAGCAGTTACTTGTTTTTAAAGCGTGCAACTATTCCTCAAACAGAATTGAAACAGTTAAACCCTCACACAAGCCAGAGCTGCAGAAACACACTAAAATAATCCCTTGTAAGAAAAGGGATGTATAAATGAGAGAACATTCCTCAGGTTGAAATGCTTGTTTTGAATCAAGCTATACCTCTGCAATCTTTATCCTCATACCAGCTCCCCAAATAACCAACTCTAAAGCACGCTGCCCCTTGGGCGTGCAGGAAAATGAAGCAGTTACTTGTTTTTTTAAAGCATGCAACTATTTCTCAAACAGAATTGAAACAGTTAAAGCCTCACACAAGCCAGAGCTGCAGAAACACACACTAAAATAATCCCTTGTAAGAAAAGGGATGTATAAATGAGAGAATATTCCTCAGGTTGAAATGCTTGTTTTGAATCAAGCTATACCTCTGCAATCTTTATCCTCATACCAGCTCCCCAAATAACCAACTCTAAAGCACGCTGCAAATATTCCAACAGTAGTCACAGCAGTAGAGTGAAGATAAGGCCAAATCTTGCTTTTAGAAGAGATTTTGTAAGTTTTGGGACATTTCTCTATATGGATACTTACACTGTTGAAAGCCAGCTTGATGTTCCCTGCGTCTAAAGTAGTAGCTCTTTTAGTTGAGCTGATGACCGTAACGAAATCTTCAAAAGAAGTATTCACTTCAACCACAAATCCTTTATCCTGCAAGAAAATGGCTTTTTTGGCATCAGGCAGGTCAGGAACTCATGGCTCAGTGCTGCCACACGTGATGCTAACACGACGTGAAAGCCCAACACCCCCCCAGCAAGGAGCTTCACTTGAGGGATACATTTGGCATGAAAAGAACCCAAATAAATGGAGCATTTTCCCCCCTTACCTTTAAGATATCTTTTATTATCTTCTTTTCATCATGGTAACGTGCTTTCAAGTCTTCAACATAGAACTTGAAAAGATCAAGTGCTGTGGATCCTGATGAAAAAACTAGATAAGTCAAAAGCTAGCTCTAATACAAGAGCTGCATTTTTTTAGACATTTAGAAAAATAAACAAACAGCCCTGCCTCTATTCTGCCCCAAATCCCAGCCTTTTAGCCTGACTTGCTCCAGGGCTGGAAGAGACAGTGTTCTTACCAGGCTGACCAAGCATGTTAGTGAATCTGATGTCAGAGCTGATGGTTGGGTACAACTCCATCCAGGAGGACATGGAATGTAGCTGTCCGTGCTCGTGCAGTTCATCCAAAAATAGCTACAAAATACAAGTCAAAGGGGAGTTTGTAGTCAGGCATCATACTTCCACTTGGCTAACAGCTGGAAGGGAATTCCATTTTTGTTAAAATGGGATTAAAAAAAATCATTTTTAATGTCTTCCTGCCTTCCTGCACCATTCCCACTGTCCCAATTGTATTTCCCTTCCATTCCAATCTACTAGCTCCCCCTTTTCCAGCTTTTTGGCAAGCATGTGTATTAAATAGAAAAAAAAAAATGCTACCATGCTGGTAACTGCTGGGTTATCCACAGCCCTCAGCCTGCCCTGAGGAATCAAAACCACACAGAATGGTCACAGCCCATCTAGGACAGGAAGAGGCCACCAACCTGGAAAGATTCTCTGTTCTTACGCTGCCGCCTTCTTTCTCGAAGCAAACTCTTCTGCTTTTCTTCCTCCTCCTCTTTTTCCAGTGCCCTGATGTGTTCCTCAAAACAGATGAGTGCATCCTCCTTATCCATGTCTAGCAACAGGTAACAACAGTGAGAAGAGTAAAAATCAGGTTATTTCTTCCTGCTGGATGAAGTTTCTTACTGTGAGATAACAGCTGTCAGTGTGAGTGGGGGGCTTCACTGAGCACTGAGATGGAGGAAGAGCTGCACAGCAGCAAATCCAGCCTGCCCCAACCCACATCAGTTATCCTCACCAAAACCTAGAGACAAGTACTGTGGAGAAGCACCTGAGCATCTCCCCTCATTACCACAAATATCTTAAAACAGAGGTAAGAACACAGAGTATCTTTGCCAAAGGCTTTAGCAGCTGTCTAAATGCATGTGCTGCTCTTAAAATACAGGATCAACTCATTTAGAAGAAAAAGAGGTATGGAAAACCTGCCTTTTTACTCTAAATGAGTAAAAACCAATTAATTCTCTAGGAGAGCAAACAGAGGACCTCAGTCTAGCAGAAGAAAGTGTTTGCACCCCATAGGATGTTGTCAAATAACACTTCCAATTTCAGATGCAATTCCACAGTTTCCCCACAACAAGGCAGCCTCTGCTTTGTCATTAACATTAATCAGGAATGGTTTGGGAAACCAAGGTGTGTTTTTTTAGGAAGCAAACAAGAGAGTCCTTCACAGGGGCTGCTCAGCTGCTGCCAGAGTGGCTGAGGACTGGACACCCAGGCAGGAGTCTTTGCTGCTAAAGACATGTGCACTCCCTCTTCCCAAAGAGAGACACAGATCCTTTACTTACTCTGCAGTTCCTCATCTTCTGCAAACGTGGGATTGTCCATCAGATACTGCTGAGCCTCTGACCAAGTAGTACAGTAAGTGACATTGGCCATGTTATCCAGGATGTTCTTCAGAGCCTCCCAGTTCCTCTTCCTCAGCTGTTTGGCTTGTTCCTGAGGGGGAAAGGGCATTTTTTCCTCATTAAATCTGAGACTGCATAGACAAAAATACATGACCCCTCAGATTTACTCTCCAAAACACCACAGAATTGTCCTTTCATTTACATGTGAAGCAACATAAGACAAATTGGACCTACAGACATCCCACATACAATTTTTACAGGCCATTATCACTTGCACCCACAGATAAACCATGCTGGTACTATTACCCCTGACTGATGGAAGAGCCCCTGAAATGGTGCTCACCTTCCAGAGACACTGCTGGGAAAGTATGTTCAGGGAACAGGCCCTAGGGCCAACTGTGCTGCTGAACAGCAGCTGTAGCCCACATGAGCTCACCACAAGCCATTTCTGGAGCAGCCCTGGCTGGATGGTGGCCTCTTGCTACACAATTTGTTTCTAATTGCCTGTTCTCCCTCTATCCATGGGGGTTGGTGAGTTCTAGCATCACTACCAGATCACAGTGAAGGTCAACTGCCCAGATACCCCATTCCCTGGAATTCCCTGAGGCTGGGCAGGGCTCTGAGCAACCTGTCACATCCATGGCATGGACTCACCAACCCTAGAAGGGTTCCAAAAATGTGTGTAAGCTTGAGACATAGTTTAGTGGTCACAGTAGTGTTGGTTTTATAGTTGCACTTGATCTTAGAGGTCTTTTCCAAGATTAATGGTGCTATGATTCTATCTGCAGATGTCCCTGCAGGGGGCTTGGAGTAAATGACCTTGAAATGTCCCTTCCCACCCAAACCATTTTATGATTTGGGTCCAGATCCTCACAGTCAGAGGAGAACCACTGAGGCTAAAGGAAACTCAGCTTTCTGTAGCAAGCCTGTGGTAGTTTGTCTGATTCAGAGCAGTCCAGAGTAAAACCCATCATAAAATGTATTACAATCATATTAAAAATTAAATTATAGCTGCAACATCTCTCAAGAACAAAGACCCTTCAAAGGCACTGCTGTTGCATCTGCCATACAGAGTCAGGTCAGGGGGTTCACCTTGCTCCCCAGCAGACTGCAATGAACCCTGGGTGGGAAGGAGAGCAATCTGCTCCTAGTGTGCTTGCCCACTGTCAGAAAGGGCTGTCCAGGAAATCCTCATCTCCAAACCACCACCCTGCAGCACAGTTCCACAACTTCAGTGGTGTACCCTGCAGGAGTCTGGGTCAGGATTCACCCCCTTCTGCCTGTTAACTCTTGAAAGTTGAAAGATAACAAGTGAAAAGTTTGAGAACTACCTTCTCTTTCTTAGACAGAAAAAACAAGACATCTTCATAGATCTCCAGGCGATCGCGCTCAGAGATGGCATTCCAGACCTCCATCTCCCCAAACATTTGTTCAGCTTTTCTGTGCAGAACAACAAGCACACAGTCAATTATTGGTGAACAGGGACTTAAGTTGTCCCCTCAGCTCATAACAACATTAATAACACTGTTAGAAGCAGTGATGCTTTTGTATGACACCTCCCTCATTTTCCTGCTTGGGAAACATTTCCCGTGACACTTTTCTGTCTCTTTATTAAAGAAAGGAAACAGTTAAAAATGAAACCTGGTGCCAAAAATGGAAACCTGATGACAAATTTTGCTGGCTCACTCTTGCTGAATCACAACTTTCCTGTGCAATCAGCCTGGAGAAACCCACTGCTAAATTAAAGCAACACAAATATTCTCATCTTCACAGACCCAGGCAGAAACACAACTCGAATGAGCAGTGTGCTGATAATGGGGTGAGCTTCTGATGTAAGTAGAAATACAACCCAAGATCTGGTCATGAACTTGGGATCTAGTGAAGGCTGGAGCTTCATTTCATAGTGGTCTTACTTGTATCTTGTTGTGGATGTCATCTTTTCATGGTTCTCAAGGAAACGCTGGAAGGATTCTTTAGCTTCCTTGTATTTTGATCTTGCTTCTTCTTTCTCTTCCTTTTCTGTTTGAACTTTGTAAGCATTAAAGGCTTGCTTCTTCTCACTTAATTTTGCCAAAGCACTTCATAGAAAAGAAAAAAAACCAACAGTGTCAATGATACAGAAGGGAATTCAATCAGAAATACAAACCCAAAGAACCAAAAGAGAATCCATTTCAATAATCCACATCTGGGACAAAATGAAACCTCACCTAAATGTCCAATCATCCCCCTGCCTCTCCCTCAGGATCAATGGCAGATTGTTGTAAAGAAAGTAATAAAAACACTGGCATTGTGCATTTTTATACCCAAGAAAAGGCATAAAATCCAAGTAATGAGGAGAGGCTCAAGCAGTACCTGTATCTGGGATCATTAATGATCATTTTCATAGCTTGTTCCCAAGAAGCATTGGATGGTACCCGCTGTGAAGACATTAAATCATTAATTAATTACATTTGGAATAGATACCCAACCACGAGTGATTAATTGTTTAAAAAATAGCCCTCAGGAAAAAAAAAAAGCTCTAGTCTTTCAAGGTGCCACATTCTTTGTTACAAATTTATTTTAAATTTTATTAAATTTCAGGTTATCCATAGTCAACATGGAAAACAAAAAGGACTTCTGGGATTGCTGCCAATCTCACAGTAAATTCTTGTGGAATTTTGCCTGACAACTATGCTGACTTTCTAGACAAAGCACAGCAGATCCTGTATACTCTGAGGGAAAACCAAAGCCAGTCTCATCTTACTCACACTTCATCTTTAAAAGAAAGATGAAAAATGGAGGGCTCAGACAACCAGGCAGCAATTAGAAATGTACCTCTGTGAGACAAAATCATTGGCCACCCAAATTTCCCCAACACTGAAGTGAAGTGTTAGAATTGTTCAATAAGGCATTAGGAAGAGATGACCCAAATACCTTTTCTTTTAGCAACTCCTTAAATGCTTGTTTTGCTTCTTCCTTTGTATTCCACGTGTAGGTTTTTTTAACAGGCTGGGCATCATCATCCTCCTTCTTTGAAGCAGCACTATATAAAACACATCAGCAATTTTATTAAACATCTTTTTATCCTAACTTAGAGCCACTAAAGAATCATAGAATCAAAAAAATTAAACTATTTCAGAAAAATATTATCACTTGGTGGGGATCACAGTCTGTTCTCCCAACAAATAAGTGATAGGGCATGAGGAAAAAGCCTCAAGTAGCACCAGGGGAGGTTGAGGTTGGAGCTGAGGGACAATTTCTTCCCCTGGAAGGCTGCCCAGGGCAGTGGTGGAGTCCCCACCCCTGGAGGGGTTTCCAAGCTGTGGAGATGTGGGGTGAGGGACATGGGGCAGTGGGGACCTCTGGGCTAACAGCTGGACTTCATAGGAAAGGTCTCTTCCAACCCAAATGATTCTATGATTATGCAGTCTGTGACATGCTCAAGTTAGCTAGAAATTATTCATAAAAGCCTCAAGTTTTATGAATCAAGTCATAATTATTCCTGATGAACTTTAGCAGGAATATTTAGATATATATTAAATATATAAGGGGAGTGCTTAAAAGTATGGCTATAAATTCCCACAGGGTGGTTATTTTTTGTTGGAATGACAGAAATCTCTTACTGTAATTCTCCATTATTGAAAAACAAAGGATCTCCTTTCTGGCAGAACAGATGAGGACTTATTTATAGTATTAAATTTTCTTCTAACAGCAGCCAGTTGCACAGGCCTATGGAGGAGGAACCACCCCAGGTAAGCACATTAATGTTACCCTGCAAAACTCTTGAAATTTCCAAAATGTTCACCCCACTGAAGGGTGTAACAGCTGGCAGTGGGCAGATTCAGGCTGGATGTGAGGAAGAAGTTCTTCCCCAGGAGAGTGGTGAGACCCTGGAATGGGTTGCCCAGGGAGGTGGTTGAGGCCCCATCCCTGGGGGTCTTTAAGGCCAGGCTGGAGGAGGCTCTGGGCAGCCTGATCTAGTGGGAGGTGTCCCTGCTCATGGCAGAGGGGTTGGAACTGGGGGATCCTTGTGGTCCCTTCCAACCCTGACAGATTCTGATCTGTTTTAGCAGAGGACTTTAGAGCCCTAATGGCTCAACGGTTGGACTTGATGATCTTGGAGGTCCCTTCCAACCTAAAGGATTCTATGATTCTATAACAGCTTTGGGAGTGGACTGCAGGGTGTAACAGCTTTGGGAGTGAATCAACAAGGGGAGGGCTTGAATTTTCCTAAAAAGCCACGTCATACTTCATTTCTTTCATAGCCATCACTCTCTGCTGCTACTGACTCAAACCCCCCTTCCACCAAGGAAACACCCACCTGTCCCAGCAGCCTGGTGCCCCCCCAGCAGCAGATAAACCCCAACCCAGCAGCAGCAGCAGCCCAGGCTGAGCTCTGGCACTTCACTCA